TTTATGTATGTGAATAGCGAATCTTTAAAACTTACTTTAACTAAGACCAGAAACAAAAAAATGTCACCGCAAAAGCATGCTAAGGTCCCCATAAATGTCAAGTAGCTATATACAAAAATACACGCGTTCGCCATTCACCAAATAATATAACTCAGAAGAAATTCTGAAAACATCTACCGTATTGTACCTTTATGCGAACGGGCTGTCCAGTGATTTCTTACTGATAGGATCCACCATTGTAACTACTTGGGATCAGGTATACTTCCCTTATAAACGCAATTTACAGAAACAACAACAACAACAATTATTATAGGTGTATTAGAAATCCAATGTTATTCCGAAGTAGAAAATAAAGTGTTTAACTCTATAAGGTCAGATGTTATAACCTCCGCATCGATTTACCACGAAAGAACACGTGTTACTACAGCCAATAACCGGTGAACTTCTTTTTTTAGGGAGAAAAACATGACATCACGAATTGAAGAGAAGAACCGGTGAGCTGTAATGTCACCACATTGACGCAGTACATTCAACAAAGATAGCGTAGTATTGTGTAACTTTGGACCCTTTCAAAACTTTGTCACAGATATTTCTGCGTTAAAACAATAACTCATTGGATCTGCGTGCACCAAGAACGCTTATCATTCTAACGTGAGGTAAAATTACACACGCTTATCAGGTGCCAATTGATAATAACAATCGCACATTTAACACAGCCCATGTTGTATATACACATGTTTACTCCAACAAATACCTTTGATTCCGAATAAGTTTTTTTTATTGTTTTCTATTATTTTGCTTTATAGATTCAAGCTAAGTTTGCGACTCCCTAAGCTAAGCTACGGAGGAAGAAAAATGACGATGGCGATACACATGTTAACGAAGTGTTTATATTGATACAAACTATACTGAACCGATTAATGCAGAAACTTCTGGTTGGGAGGATGGATCGTATGATCCCAGTCATTCAGGACAAATGGGTATTTGAAATTACATTATTAAATAAATCATGCTGATATACCTGTCCACATCTTCAAGGGTTCCCGCCATTTTGCCGTGAAATTCCTGCGCTTCACAGAGACGATCACAGCACCCGGTAGCAGCTCCTATCCCACCGCCACTGCTTGATGACGATAATAAAGAAGACTCCACACACGAAGCCGTCGAACCACCGTTAACACCCGCGTAGGAGGACATCACAAAATTAACAGCTGTTTCTCAGCACCTAGTGGTAGCCGGAGGCGGTATATAGAGCCTTGCCTATAACTTTGTAGCTTTTTACGCTAACAGAAAGTTAGTACATGGATTAGAGAGATCGTGCTTGAAAGTCAACAGAAACTTACCAATGTGTATTTAGTTGTTTGACTATGTAAACTTCATTGTTTGTATGTCACACGGTAACAAGACACTTCAAACAAAAACATGTAAAAAAACTCGAATTCATTAAGTATGGCAGTATATTTAGAAGAGAACGACTAGCATATTATACAGTGAAAAATTGGCATCCAAAAGACATTTGGCACTGTCAACTTGATACTAAGCTTGAAACTGGTTGCCTATATTATTCATATTATCGCTACTGTACTGTAAAATGCTACTTCTGGGTAGAGATTTATTAAGGTAGACAATGGTCATAATACTTGAATAAGATGCGGATTTATACAAATGTATGTGACTTTGACTAAAACTCAAATATACCTACTTATAAAACGCCGATTTTTATATAAGACTCGAAGTATTTGCAGAGAAGTATAATTTTTGCAATTATCTGTCTCTTTAGATTCTCGCAGTATTTCTGGCTCTTCATTTGCAAATTTAAAGATGGTCACTCCGTACAATTTGGTATTTTAAATTTTATCAGAAATTATTCAACGAAACGGATGATTCTAAAAGATAGGCAGAGATATATAAGATACGGCACCTATATTCCGATTACTCTGACTACCATTAATACTTAGGTATTAAGATAAGCTATTACCCGACCCCCGTGCGTCGGAAAAACTTGTGCCCAGAAAATGTATTTTTTGCCCGAAATCCACAGTCCACGTCATTGATAGTTTTTATACAGCTTTTGAATAATCTGAGAAACTTTTTTTATAAAATTCGAAAATACTACACACGGTTTGAATTTAAAAACCTAAATCATGAAAATGACTCAGTAACCATTTTTGCTACGCCTGAATTTTTTATACAGAGATTAACGGTCGTTTTAAAGGAGAAAGTATCAAACTGCCAGTTAAATCGTTCAAATTAGCTTGAATAATTATTTTTCTTCCGCTTCTGTTTCAGTCTTCTCAAAACTTTTTACTCCACTCTGCGCCTTTTCGACCCTTTGGCCGCCCAGAACCCTTCTGTTTCTAAGCTTTTTGGTTCTTAAAATGTATCCTTTCCTTTTCTTTAAAAATATTATTGCCTTAAAATGCGAGTCCGCTAAAATTTCATGAGTAGCGTACCTGAGTGGCACTTCAGTATATCTACATCTATCAATATCGTTTAATGTTAAAATTTATTATGGGTAAAAAAAATAACATTAAGCTACTTCGTTATGAACATTTATATTACGAACATAGAACATGTTAGTGCAACAAACTGTTACACGACGACCGCTTTTTTAGACACTCCAACCCTCCCTCAATTTTTCGCGTTGACTCACAACGAATATGGAACACCTGATAAATTACTTTGACGAACGATGGAACCGCTATTAACACCGGATACCGCAAATGCAATTACAAGTCGATGCGTGCAAGACAAACACTAACTTTAGAGCAGTTGACTTGATCCAGATTCGAGAAGTCTGTGTTTCCAGTTTACCGAAATTTTGTAGACTACACTCTGAAGGAGCGTTTCACGGTTTTTCAGGCAACTACCTCTGTTTTCCGGCGTCATTTTTCAGAATGACCTACAACAAGCTTTTCCATACCCGAAGCATAAAGTGCCGCTTTTACTATTACTATTTGCAGAAGCTAACAACGCCTACGGAATTTCGCCAGTAGTAAAGATGTTAGTCATCCAGTCCAGTCCACGTAATCTAAATTGAAATTTCAATGTAAAACCAATGAAAAACTGTTGTTCTCTTATTAAAGAACTATCATGTTTACTTGTAAGCTACTTAGTATTTACATCGGCTGACATAATTATTCATAGCGCTTCATTTAATGGCTTGTACATATTCGAAGTAAGACTAGCGGGCTCAGGTCTTTTTGTGTGTGAACATATATAAAATATCGCTTGTCCTATATTATCTGTATTCATTGTATAAATTCTTTATTCGAAGTCAGAGTCGATGTATCACATTCAAGTTTAGCTATCGAAGTTATGTGGACCACATCCTAATTTCACTCGAGTTGCTTGCAGTCAGGCCGGCAGGATTTAAAAAAATATTGTTTGACCTCAGCTGTATATATTATGGATTATTATTTTTACCATAGATAACAATCTCTTGAACCCCTGAGCGAAGTCTGAGCATTTACAAAAAGCAGTTTATATGTGACCAATATTCTTGAAAATAATGTTAATAAATGTAAGTTAGTGTTAAGACAAAACAACCATTACATTTTTTAATACTGCCACGACGCCAGAACATCAGAAAGGTTTCGCCGCACAGATCCCGATAGAAGGCTTTTAGTGTTAATTGTATAGCCGTAACTCTTAAAACATGACAAAGGTAATTGAGCACCGTCTCTCTTTTATGGCTGTAAGTTCTTCATGAGTATTTCACTCCATTGATACAACAGACAATTTCGATACAGTCTGCATCGTAAGTCATCCTCGTGGCTACAAGAAGCAGTACCAGGCCACCTCGCACGCGTTGCTTCCTCGTGTCAGTTTCTGAACATTCTATTCGATCTCGATCTGGTCAATGCCGGAACGCGCCATATTTTGCCGCTCTAACAATAAAATCCTTTAAAGTTCCGTCATCCAGTTTGCTAAACGCCTCGGTTTGCACAACCGCTGTCGTATGATTCATCGCAAATCTAAAAGAATTAATAAACAATAAAAACCTTACTACCTTATAACCTACAACAATAAGTACAGGAGATGTGAGAATCCGTCCACATACTATCCTGCATAACGAGTAATTTTATATGCCGCCACCTGTTAAGTACTCAAATCGATTTCTTCCCATGCTTTTGTCACAATGAACGATATAATAAACTTGATAAACCTGTAATAAACAAAAAAGAAGAACCAAGCACTTCACCCGAGAAAAATACGCTTATAGTGGACAAGGAAACATCTCACCTAAAACAGAAGTCCTCAAGTTCCTTGGCCTCGTATTTTATAGCGGCGGCATATAGCAAAGCGCAATTTTCTACAAGAATGCCATTTTTTATTATCTTCTGGCAGTGCACCTGGAATCAGCAAACATAACAGTACAAAATTCCAGTTTTGACTACTACAATAAAGATTTGAAAATAGAAGTTGTACCCTTATAGATACGTTACATGCGATAGACCTCCAACGTGTATCTCTATAAATTCAATAGGCGTCAGTATAAGGTTAAATATTACTGTGTGCTACGTTTTTTATACCAAAACTAGGTCCTGGCGACAAAATCAAATATAATTCTGATTTCACCGAACACAATTATGAAGTGCTAGCTGTTAATGGTATTTTGCAACGGAATTGTGAAAGGCTGTATATTTCGTTTTGCTATTTACCAATGCTAGCCATGGCTTTATTAACAACGTTAGTATATGTTTCGTAAATTACGAGCGAGAAATTACTTAATTCTATAATTCGATTCAACTGTAGCAGCTAGGTTAAGCATCTTAAACGACTATGAGGGTAACGAAGCCCTACTTAGAAACACCATCGCTACTTGGTGACGTTACAGCCAATTATCGTCACCGAGTTCACTTGCTGGTTTGTGTCATTACATTGTGAAACATCTGTAAATATATATCTGTCAGCTTTATTGTTCTTACTCAATTTCCATGAAAGCAATAGTACATCGAATTTACATTTGAACTCGCTTATGGAAAAATTAGGCTAACCATGTCGGTCAATGAAACCTATGACGCATCTTAAAACAACAACGCACTAATACAAACACTTGGTTAAGAAGTAATCACACCTTTAGTCATGTTCATACCTTGAGACCAATCTCACAATATGCGTTGGCAAGATCCAGAAGGCCAATGGCACCTTCTGGTGAAAGAGCCACCTCTCCCGTGTAGAGATACTCAAGGAATGCTTTGTAGACCTGATGGCTGAACTGCTCGATTTTTATGGTATCTTTTTGATTTTCCGCCCAATGGTCCTAAAAAAGCAATAGTACGGTTAATATTAACTCTACGACAAGATGGGCTAAGTGAACTTATTCTGGAAATTAAGTGGATTTGAAGTCATAAAAAATTGCAGTGGGTTTACAGTTAAAGTTTATATGAGACGAAGAAATATATGAAAAGCCTATTCCCTCGTTTGTTGCAGTGGGTAACATTGCATCTTATTGATACAATTACTATCTCCTTTCGTATTTCAATCTTTTTTTAAATATGTCGGAAGTCCGTTAGCACATCCATCTTACAATCTTGGTAGCCAGTTATTACATTACACAGTTACCAAGTTATTTCCCAGATACTTTGAGAAATGAATTTTTTAGAATCTTCGCTTTACCTGGAACATCGTACGGAAATGCTCGCATCGAAATTTGAGTATTGTCTTGTGAACATGAATCGTTTTTCCTTCTACCACGAATTTGATATCCGAATGGGTCGGATCGTTGAATTGTTGGCGCAGAATACCCGTAAGACAGCGTTCCCACCTGGACAAGTAATGCTTATGTGATTGTTAAGTACAAACGTATAACAGAAAAACTAATTACAGCCACTTTACAAGATAACTAAAGAAGTTATCTTGACCCATACCGAATCGTGATTTTTAGAAGTTTTGAAAATTTTAGAAATGAAAAAAAAGTCGAATTAAGCTCTGAGAGATTGAATTTTGATTTTTGATAACTTATTAGGTTTTATTGAAAGATAAAAGCATGCGTAATTCATGGATGATGGGGTAATCCTCGAATAGGTGACAAAACGTTTGTTCTACCTGTGACCAACAACCATAGGCAGGGGTGTGATTGCCACCGAAGAAAATGCAGCGAAGACATCATGAAGTGATTTGAACGGCGTAACGATAGGCTCTGTCACTGCTTGACCCCGACAATGACCCCACATTAATACCTACCAATGTATGCAAATGGTGTTAGTATGCTCTAGTTAACCTGTCACTTTTCCCGTTAGCCTATTCGGTAAGTAACTCCGATATGTATGTTTCATAACTCCTCAGCAACATTATATTCTCGTTCCTATTAGTTTTGGGAAAGTTTTTTGCGTTTTTAAGTCTGAACTCAAGTTAAAAAGACGCATAGAGATTGCTAGAACCGTTTTGAAATGGCAGATGCATACATACATTTAATTTATATTTGACGACAAAACTAAGTATAATATTATCATTTTTGAAAATGGTTCCTCTAAATATAATCGTAACGATGACTAAATACCTTTGAAGTTTCAGTGAGGGCTGCGGAAATCTGTGTGTAGTGCGACGCAGCCACATCGATGATTCGACTTTGGTCTGTCTTCATACGGACAGGATTTACCTGTAGAGGAGTACACACAAGATTCCAATATATTTTTTTAGAACCGAGAAAGAATTTAATATTTCTCAAGTCAAACTAGGCCGATACGAAAAACCGATCTTTAAAAATTGGGAAAGCAGATTAATATTATACCTGGTTAGCCTTGTTACCAAGTCCGAGTTGACCGTAAGAGTTTGCTCCCCATACGTATAGTGTACCCTCATCTGAGAGGGCCATTGTATGTGCGAATCCGCAAACAACCTGAGCGTATCAACAATTTACATGTGTATTTTAGTACCTTTCAACCTGTTATTATTAGTCAAATTTGCTACTATTAATATCTACAAATGAAATGCATAAGAGCATAAAAACATGTATCTACTTTCTAAGGAATGGCGTGAACATTAGTTCCTAACGAAGCGAACTAAACTTTGACTGATGGTATCTACCCGTTGCGAACAGAACATTCGAGATAATAAATAATTATATGATTTAAGCACAAACTAAATATCAGACTTTACCGTATATAATCTTTGATACCTTTTGAATTGTGACATTTTTAAGGCCATCAATTTTAGCGGGTAACATTTGGTTGACATTATTTCCAAGCCCCAACTGACCAGAACCTAAAATTGCATTCAACACAATTCAAAGAAAACAATGAAAATAGCATTATATCAACATATTTGTAATAATATGCAAGGCAACAATCAGTTACTGCGTACTTAGTAGTGCCTATTTTTGTGTGCATATATACACACGAAGCAGTCAACATTTATATTACCATAATAGACTTATCAATGACTACTGTGAGAGATATGTGGACGCGTTGGGTACCCAACTATCCCCATCGTTGCCACTTTGTGACCAAAGATAATTACCATTAAGACCCCAAGCATAAATTTCACCGTTTTCGAAAACAGCTACTGTTGATGTTTGTCCGCAGGCGATTCCCACGCAGAACAAGCTTTGAATTAATCCTGTCACCTGTTACCGACCGAATGATTAGTTAGTTTCTAATTCAACTCCTCTTCATGTATTTATGTTTGGTTCTTAATTCCATAAATATAACATGGATCTTTCTTGTAGCGTACACGAAATTAAAGCTGCAGGCACGCCCTTGAATTATATTTACTGGAAATATCAATGTAAAGAATGGACTTGTGAAGATGATAAAGGCCGAGGTCTTAATACTTAATCTGGTAATAAGAGTTTTATACAGACCTTTCTTGGATTGTGCTGATTTGAAGATGTAGCTCCGACACCTAGTTGCCCACAATTGTTTTGACCCCATGAATAGACCTGAAAGTTAAATACGATGTATTTATATTTTATTCAATGTTGACATATTCTAGGATTCAACCATTACATTTATTCGCGTTAATATGCAGTACATCCACTTCAATAATTCAAAACTAGGACCTGCGTGTATTGTCAAGACACCTGCATGCTCGTGCAAGAATTCGAGCAGTTGAGACTTAAAAGTACATAAATAAAACTATCTTTCAACTGAGTGAGAGCTCAGCTTAGTGTATAGTTACGCACCTCTCCACTAATCGTTCTGGCAATCGAATGGAAGCTTCCACACGCCACCTCTGCCACTGGATTCGGGATATTGTTTGATATCAATACGGGCGAGTTTACCTGCGTTTGTAAGACATGTTTTACTTTTATTTTTATTTATTAATAATAAATAAATAATAAATAATAAATAATATCTTTATTCATATTATTACGATAGCTCAAATAAGCCAGTCGTTGAATGCAAATTTGAAAGCTAAGATAAAACAAGTCCGGTATGGATCTAAAAAAATCGTGATAACTTGTGATTATCTCATTCGAAGAACAATACTTCGAGATTTTCGATGAATGCAACTTTTTCGAATAAAATGTATTAAGTAATGTAAAGGCCCACTGAAATCACATTCGTCAACTTAGGATTTTGGTGAATACGTTTTACGCAGATTTTTATAGCAGCATTGACGAACCTGAGATGTTTGGCCATTTCCGATCTGAGCATACCCATTATGGCCCCAACCATAAACATCGCCTTGGGCCGTCAGAGCTAGTACATGAGGCCCAGATCCATACGCAAAGGATCGAACGTTCTTATTGCAAATCGCTTCTACCTGAAAATAGTTATTGAAAAAAAAAATAATTGCCGGAACTTCCTTGTCCGAAAACCTAGGCAAGTGCTGCAATAATTACTAAGGCCAGCATTACATACAACTGAATAATTTATAGACCTGCTTAAACATGGTTATAATAAGAAGGCCTAGTATCCTTACCGTCAGATGTTAGTAAACATGGTAACATTGCCGTTACTTCCATCATGCTAGCATATAATATATATATATATGCTTTATTTTATATGCTTATGAGCATTTGTACGATACAACATGTAATATGTACTATCATTCTGCAAACGAACCTTGTATTTGTGTAGTTCGTATCTTGAAACAAGTTAGCTAACTTTCAAATAGTGCCGAATACTAACCTTGACAGGATTTAATGCTGTGCGAGTATCACCAATTCCTAGGCACCCAGATACATTGCTTCCAAGAGCCCACACCTGAAAGAAATAGCACACACATTCAGTGTTTGTGTTATACCAAAACACTACGCATTAATGTCGCTGAAGAAAATTTCAGTCCGCGTCTTCTATGTAGGCCATGCATGTCAGGTTTATTTAGTTCCAAAGTTCATTTTTAATTACGAAATTTATTTAAGTATTTTCCATTTAAAAGGTAGTAGAATGATAAGCGTTCTTGGTGCACGCAGATCCAATGAGTTATTGTTTTAACGCAGAAATATCTGTGA